TGTTCTGCCCGCAGCTGTGCTCAGCCTTTCACAGATGGGAGACTGAGGCAGGCTGGTGCCTGTTCACAGTTGCTGAGCTAGAGCTCCTGGGAGCTGTGAAGGTGAGTCCTCCCCTCCCCCAGTGCTGTTTTCTCTTGCCTGTCCTATCCCATTGGCTTAGACAGACTTCATATGGAGGAAACGACAACTCAGCCTCACTGAGTTTGTTTCCCCGACAGCTGGAGACCCTTTCCAGACCATCTACCTGGACACGACTCTCTGACTTTAGTCTAACAACTCTACTTAGTCTAATGCAGTGGTTCTCAACCTGGGTGTGGGGAGATCAAATGACCTTTTCACAGGGGTCACCTAAGACCATCAGAAAACAGATATTACATTATGATTCATAACAGTAGCAAAATTACAGTTATGTAGTAGCAACATAAATAATTTTACAGTTGGGAGTCACCACAACATGAGGAACTGCATTAAAGAGTCACAGCATTAGGAAGGTTGAGAACCACTGCTCTAATGTTTTATCCCTGTGGCTAGGGAGCCACAGGTGTGCAATGATGGTTAGTTAACATGACACAGACAGGCTCTGTTCTGGACTGCGGAGAAAGTTCTCCATCCTTCCTCTTCTGAGCACCTGGACCAGATGGGCCTTGAGGAAATGCACACCATTCATATAGAGATGTCAGAGAGTACCGAGTTTGGGTAACCGGAATACAATTGTGACAATGAACCCCTCTTATATATTTAATTAGGTTTATAGTCCCAATGATGCCCTGAGGAAAGCCACCCCTACCCGGCAACACCAAGTGTTTTGATACTTTATTATTGCTGTGAAAAGAGGCTATGACTTGAATGGTAGAATTTTCCTCATAGTTAGTTACTCTTGCAAGTTGTGTGTCCCATTTCCCCCAACCCCTGTGCTCCCAGACAAGGTTTCTCCATCCTCTATATAACAGTCCTGGCTGTCCTGGAACTCCCTCTGTAGATCAGGGTGGCCTAGAACTCACAGAGATCTGCCTGCCTCTGCCTCCCAAGTGCTGGGATTAAAGATGAGCAACACCACTGCCTCGAAGCAAGCTGTTTTCTGACATCCTCTCAGGCTAAGATCTAGGAGCCCTTCTCTCTCATCACAGGGACATTGCAGGGTGAGAGTCCCTGCTGTGACGATGGAGAACATCTCAAGTGACCCCCATTCCGCTCAGTCTCTGATGGTGTCAAAGCTGTGGTGCCCTCTCAGGCAGCACGGTGGACTCAAAGTCGTTCCTGGGAGCTTGACTTCACCATTATTCCACCCGATCCCAACCTCTGCTCCTCTAAATCCTGTTCTGTGGGGAACAGTAGGTTGAATCCTGAGCCTTATCCTTTAAGGTGAACTATCTCTGATCATCTGGAACCCCTTCAAAGGAAGGCACAGGTCAGCCTACTTGTACTCTCTATTCAACTAATGGGGCCTGGTTGAGAATCTCTAAGGACAATCTGTGAAATGGGTGAAGTTACCAATCAAAATTTCTTTTGTGTGTGTGTATGTATGTGTACACTCATGCATATGGGTACAGGTGTCCACAAAGGGAGTAGGATGCTCTAGAGCTGGAATTGCACCTGAGGGTGTGAGCTGAGCTGCCCAGTGTGAGTACTAGGAACCAAAGTCAGGTCATTTGGAAGAGAAGCACAAACAAACTGTGTAGTGTGAATTCTAATTGGTCTTAATAATAAAATCCCCGGGTCAGATATCAGGGTAAATGATGAAAGATCGGCGAAGTAAAGGAGCCAGCCACTAGAGAGAGCTCTTACCTCTAAGGAGTTCTCAGACTGCAGGGCTGAGATCCTGTCTCCTCCCACCTTATATTCCTCTCTCCATGCTGCCACCGATTTCCTGTCTCCATCCCCTTAATACTGGGATCAAAGGTGTAAGGTGTATGCCACCACTACCTGGCCTCTGGGGTTAACTAGTGGCTAGCTCTGCCCTCTGATCTTCAGACAAGCTTTCTTTGTTAGAGCACAAATAAAATATCACCACAAAGCTGCTAATTGCTGGCCCATCTCTCCAGCTCCTGGTGCTCACTTGCCATGGTCATGCTTAGCTACATTCCAGTATTTGATGGACCGAGGCAGGGAGATTTTACACTTGATGCCAGTCTGGGCACACAGCAAGACAGCCTCTAACCCAAACACAGGGATGTAACTCCAGTGGAATGGCAGTTTAATGGTTTTGCATGTATTCATCTATGTGTGTGCATTTAATGTAACAAAGAAAGGCTTTCTAATTTTGTACAGAGGCAGATAGCGAATGTATGTTGGCATTTGCATGCCACAGCACGCATGCGGAGGACAGAGGACAACTTGCCTTAAACTCACAGAGATCCACCTGCCTTCTACCTATCACTCCTGTCTTGCAGCCTCCTTGCCTTAAGGGTTGGGGTTGCATTTTGAACTACCACATCTGGCTAAAGGGCTGTGTTTTCAAAAATACATGTAGCTGGGCAGTGGTGGCACACACCTTTAATTCCACCACTCAAGAGGAAAGTGGATCTCTGTGGGTTCAAAATCAGCCTTGTCTACAGAGCTAGTTCCAGGACTATTACACCAGGAATAGGGCTATTACACAGAGAAACCCTGTCTCAAAAAATGCAAAACAAGAAAACCACAGCCGTCTACAGAGCTGCAGAGATCGTTCCGAGGTTAGAAGCACTTATTGCTCTTGCGGTAGGCCTGGGTTGTGTTCCTAGTACTCACACGCCAGGTTACAATCATGTGTAACCCTGATTGGGGGCGGGTGCTCTGATACCCTTTTCTGACCTCCAAGGTCACGAGGCTTGTGCATGGTGAACACATATTTTAAGGAAACAAATCCCTTCAAACTTGGTGGCTCAGGTCTCTAATCCTCAGCATAGGGTGTGTGGATTTGGTCTTTTATCACAAAAGACCCCAAAATAAAAATACTCTTTCTTAATTTTTACACACCAACCCCAGTGTTCCCTCCCTATAAAGGTAAATTCTAATCCAACAGGCCTTTTTCACTTGACAGAAACAAACATAAACTTCCTTTCTAAGAAATTGTAGGGTAATTTCTTGAAATTGTAGGATAATTTCTTTTTCCTTTTCCTTTTTTTATTTAAATAAGAAATGAGCTTGTTTTACATGTCAATCCCAGTTCCGTCTCCCTCCCCCTCCTCCCTGGGATAATTTCTTAATTGTAGGCAATTCCTTACAATTGTAGGATTTCTTTGAGATCTCAAAGAAAAGGAAATCTCACAGGGTGTAATGGTGCACTCTGTTAATCCTAGCACCCAGGGGGGCGCAGAAGCAAGCAGGCCTTTGTGAGTTCAGGGACGGTCTGTTCTACATAGTGAGCTGTAGTGAGCTCCAGGACAGCCAGGTCTACTTAGTGAGACCCTAAATTAAAAAAAAAAAAAAAGCAAGTGATGTCTCACGCCTTTAATCCCAGTCCTGGGGAGGCAGAGGCAGGTAGATCCCTGAGTTCGGGTTCTACAGAGCCAGTTCCAGGACAGCTAGGACTTTTACACCGAGAAACCCTGTCTCAAAACAAAACAAAAAAGTTAGGTCTTAAACCTTGGGACAAATGGCTGGAGTACCTATTTAACATATCAAAAAGCACCTGGCCACAGGGTTCTCCTGGCATTTCTCAGTCCTGCTTTTACCCTCTACCCAGAACTCTCCAGCCTAGGGGCTGGGCTGCCCTTCTCCCAGGGAATCTTCCCTATATAATCCTTCCATTTTGGTTATCTGCTCCCTTTCTTTACTTAGCCTTTTGCCCTCTTGACTGCAGCACCTGGTCCCCTTTTCCTCTCTTCCTTCCCCTCCCCTGTTCCCTCAGATGGCTCAGAGTCACGTAGGCTCTGGATTCTCCAGATTGTGTCTGCCTCTGCCTATGCTCCCCCCCCCCCTTTTTCTTTTCGAGACTGGGTTTCTCTATATTGTTTTGGAGGCTGTCTTGGAACTCGCTCTACAGACCAGGCTGGCCTCCAACTCACAGAGATCCTCTGCCTCTGGAGTGCTGGGATTAAAGGCATGCACCACCAATGCCCGGCCTGCTCAACCCCCCCTTCCCCCCGCCTTTTTTTTTTTTCGAGGCAGGGTTTTTCTGTATTGTTTTGGAGCCTGTCCTGGAACTCGCTTGGTAAACCAGGCTTGGTCTCGAACTCACAGAGCTCCACCTGCCTCTGCCTCCCGAGTGCTGGGATTAAAGGCGTGCGCCACCGCCACCCGGCTTCCGCTCTCCCTTTTTTATCTACAATAACTTTCTCCTCCACCATACCTAGGAACAGTCATAGCCTTTCCTTTTTCTTTTCCATTCAAGAAACAAAATCAGAACGAAGTGCATAAATGAGCAAATAATAAGTAAAACAAAAACATAGATCAAACTCCACTAAACCTAGGAACAGGTCATGTCTTTTCCTTTTTATTGTTTCCATTCAAGGAACAAATCCAAAACCGAGTGCATAAGCAAGCAAACAAATAAATAAAAGGAATAAAGGAATGTAAATCAAACGAAAGGGAGTGCATCCACGAATGGGCTTTTTTTTTTCTTTCACAGAATCTCAGGGCTTTTTTGGTTTGTTTTCTGAGACGAGGTCTCACTGTGGAGATCTGACTATATTGGGAATCTCTGCATAGAGAAGGCTGGGCTGGAACTCCGGGATCTGCAGGAATCAGCAGGGATTAAAGGCGTCCACCATTTCCCGCGGTTTTCAGGTTGTTGGTTTTTTTTTTTTTTTTCCCTCAAAGAATTTGGTCTTAAACCACAGAGACCTGCCTGCCTCTGCCTCTCGAGGGCTTGGACCAAAGGCGGAAGCCATTTCGCGGGACTTTCTTTTTTTTTTTTTTTCTTTCTCACAGAGAATTTGGGTTGAATCCGGAGACTAAAGAGCCCAGACAGGGTGACAGGGCAGGTACGCAATCATCCAATCGGCTTGCAGTTTGTGGTTGGCAGGCGGGGCTACAAACCGGAAGTGTGAAACGGAATACTGACGGGGGGTGGGGTGGGGGAAAAGCTTCAGGCCGGAAGTGTGAAGTGAATATGGACCATAAAACCTCAGAGAAGCCTGCGAAGATACTCAAAGCCTTGGAGCCCGAGCCTGGAGTGACTGCCTGGATCTTCTGGGTTCCTCAGTTCTGTAATTAGTGCCTGTTTCTGGTAAGTCAACCACCTCCACCAGGGCACAGTGGTTCAGGGGCGTTTGACGCAAGATGCCAAGGGAACTCTGATTTCTTCTCTTGATACGGACAGATTGTAGGCGTAAGTGTCTTTTGATTTTAATTTTTTGGGGGGACAGGGTCTCACAATGCCGCCCAGGCTTGCCTAGAATGTACTCCAGGTTGGGTCAGAAGACACCCACCCCCTTACTCCCATACCCTGTCTCAGCCTCCGTAGGGCACGACTATCGGTGTGTTTCACCAAGCCCTAGTTAATTTCAAATTATTATTACTATTATCTTTGTTTTTTTGAGACAAGTTTCCACTTGTAGCTGAAACTCCTGGCAGTTCCGTTTCTGCCTCCTCATGTCGGAACTTCTAGCTGGGAGTTACTCGGATATCTAGAGTTATGCCTTGGTTTGTGTCAATTTAAAATGTATATTCTTTGTTTATTCACATAGGGTCTCTAGGATGGCCTCAGACTACCTCATCCTCCTGACTGTTAGAATTACCAAAAACCCGAGTCGGGTGATGGTGACACATCTTTATGCCAGCACTTGAAGCAGAGGCAGACAGGTCTCTGGCTTAAAGGCCAGCCTGCCTGGTCTACAAGGCAGAGGCAGGCAGAACTCTTGAGTTTGAGGCCATCCTGGTCTACATATTAAGTGCCAGGACAGCAAGAGATACACAGAGAAACTGTGGGGTTGGGGGGAGGACAGGGGCAGGGACACATTAAAAGCCGGATTCACTTCTAAAGGCGTATTTTGAAATTTCCCTTTTTTTTTTTTTTTTTTTTGGTTTTATGAGACAGGGTTTCTCTGTATTGTTTTGGAGGCTGTCAGTCCAGCCCGGCCCTCGAACTCACAGAGATCCGCCTGCCTCTGCCTCCCGAGTGCTGGGATTAAAGGCGTGCGTCACCAATGCCTGGCTCCCTTTCTTTTTAGAGACAGTTGCATGTAGAACAGGTTGAAGTAGAACTCACATAAATTTTTTGATTGAAGCCAGGAGGTGGTGGCGCAAGCTGTCCCAGCACTTGGGAGGCAGAGGCAGGTGGGTATCTATCTGTGAGTTCAAGGCCAGCCTGGTCTACAAAATGAATTCCAGGACAAACGGTACACGGAGAAACCAGGCCTCAAACAACAACAGCAAAAAAAGTTTTATGCAGCCAAGGATGGTCTTGAGCTCACTATATAACTAGGGCTGGCCTTGAACCCTTAGTTTTTCTTCCAAGAACAGGGATGCAGGTTATAAGACCGTCCTATCATATCTGACTTTTTATTTTACTTTTATTTCATTTTTGAAGACATGGTCTAACCTCGCCTTAAACAGTTGATCCTTTAATTTTACCTCCTCAGTATTTGGATTTTTTTGTTTTTATTTTTTTTTAAGACAGGATTTCTCTTTGTATCCTTGTCTCTCCTGGAACTTGCTCTGTAGATTAGGCTGTAATGAGAAATACCCATTGAATGGAATTTGCTTTGTACTGTTTGGTTGTATTAAGTTTTATAAGACTTGTGGGGTGGTGGCGGTGCCTGCCTGCAGTCCCAGCACTTGGGAGGCAGAGGCAGGTGGATCTATGAGTTCTAGGCCAGCCTGGTCTGCAGAGTGAGTGCCAGGAAAGGTTCCAACCATATACAGAGAAATCCTGTCTCAAAAAGACTGAGTCTTACTAAGCCCAGGCTGGTCTTGAACTCCTTCCCTTCCAACTCTACATTTGATTAAGTAGTTTGTAATCCCTTAAATTATACTCCTTAAGTCACTATTTTGTGACTATAAATTGGAATGTCTTTAAACAGTCCTGGGAACGAGGTTTGACACAAGACTCAAGTTCCATCACTGAAGCTGGAGGAATGCAGTTGGTTCAGCCTGGTCAATTTGACAAGACCTTGTCTCAAAACAAAGCCAGGTGGGCTGCTAGCACACTCCTGGAATCATAGCATAGGGATACATTGGAGAGAGAACCTCAGTTCCAGCAATTGGGGGGGGGGGTTACACAACGTAGCCTTGTGTCTACATGAAGTGAATGAGTTTGGAATGCAACTTGTTGCTAGAGCGCTTGTCTCATGGGCCAGGCCCCCGGATCAAACCCCCAGTACCAAACAACCTCACCTCAGTTATTTTTTGTCCTGTCCTATTTTTTAGTTTTGCTTGTGTATAGGTGTTTTGCCTGCATGACTGTCCTGTGTATTCCTGAGGTACATGAAGGCCGGAAAAGGACAGATCTGCTGGTACTGAAGTTACAGATGGCTCTGAGCCACCATGTGGGTGCTAGGAAACAAACTCAGGTCCTCTGGAAGAGCAGCCAGTGCTCTTGCCTACTAAGCCGCATTTTGTTTTTATTTTTATTTTGAGACCCTCAACTTGGCCTGGTCAGAAACTATACAGACCTAACTGGCCTGGAACCGTCCTGGTTCTTTTTCCAAAATGCTAAGGAGTCTCTTGCCACCATGCCCTGTTTCACTGCAATATTTTCCAAGTAGAGTCTTCTAGCCAGGGATTGTAACCAAAACACAAAATCTACTCTTAAATATAGACAGGAAGATGGTGAGCTTGCAGGCCAGCCTGGGCTACGTAGTAAGGTCCATCAAGGGCAGATGTGACCTCATAGCCATTTCCACACCTGCTTGAACCGCAGGCAAGACCATATTTCCAAAAGCAAAAAAGTTTTCTTTTTCTCATCCATTTCCTCATCTAGACTCTAATGCAACATGGAAAATTCTTCCTGTAAGCCTCTCTGCACTAACGTCTTCATCTCAAAGTCACTGTCTCCTAGACACTCTACAGAAAGTCACACAGCTTGAAAACTGCTTGTGAAAGCTTTTTTTTTTTTTGGTTTTTACGAGACAGGGTTTCTCTGTATTGTTTTGGAGGCTATCGCTCCAGCCCGGCCTCGAACTCACAGAGATCCGCCTGCCTCTGCCTCCCGAGTGCTGGGATTAAAGGCGTGCGCCACCACCGCCCGGCGAAAGCTTGTTTTTATATGTGAGTTTATTAACCGCCCCCACCCACCTCCTCAGCAGTCTCTAGAATAATAGTATGGCATAGCAGAGTACCCCCCATCAGGCTCTAACCCTTTCATACATCCTCCTGAGTCATTTCCAGGCAGGCTTAGCTCATTGATAGCAAACTTTGGGGGGCTGGGGAGATGGTGAGGCAGCTGAGAACACTTAATTGCTCTTGCAGAGGACTCAGATTCAATTCCCAGGACCTGCATGATGGCTCACAACCACCCGTAACATAACACTGGTTCCAGGGGATTCGGCAGGCACCCATGTGGTGTGCACACATGCATGTAGGCATAAAAACAAATACACCCAGTAGAATATGGGAAGCTAGGCATAGAACATTCCCATGGCCTTCCCATCTTTCCATCAACATCTATTTGTTTTGTTTTTGAGACAGGGTTTCTCTGTCTGTCCTTGACTGTCCTGGCACACACTCTGTAGACCAGGCTGGCCTCAAACTCACAGAGATTCACCTGCCTCTGCCTCTGGAATGTTCTGATGCAAGTTCTACCTCAAGCTCCATCTCCAATTCCAAACTTCATCCCCTCAAAAAGCCCTTCAAAGGTCAGCACCTCCCCTGGGGGCTGCTCAAAACCACACCTAGGCTACCATAGACCTGGCAGCCATATATATTTTTTTTTCAAGGCAGGATTTCTCTATATTCGTTTGGAGGCTGTCCTGGAACTCACTCTGTAGACCAGGCTGGCCTCGAACTCATCCGCCTGCCTCTGCCTCCCGAGTTCTGGGATTAAAAGCATGCACCACCAATGCTCGGCTCCCTGGCAGCCATATTTGCCACGTGCTACCTCTCCTGTACTCCTGAAGGTCACCCCGGAGTTGCTTTGTTCTGTTCATTAAACTTGGATTTATTATTTCAGTTTGATTGGCTTATTATACCAGTGTCGGTGCATTTCCAAGAACCAGGGACTCAAAATTTATCAATAATCAGTGTCCCTGTTGCTATAAAGTGATGGGGTTCAGCTCTTAGTTTCCTGGGTAACCATTCCCAGTGGGAATTGAATTTGGAGGAATAGTGACTGGATTTAGATAGCATGGTTGAGAAAGTATGGCCTTATGCTATTCCTGCATTTCAATGTTTGGTTCCCAGTTGGTGCACCGTTTTGGAAGGACTAGGAGGTGTGGCCTTGTTAGAGAAGGTTTCAAAAAGCCCACACCAGGCTCTCTTTTTGCAGTCTGCTTACAGATGAGATGTAAGCCACTGCGCCGGTGCCATGCCTGCCTACCATGACGGTCACCGGTACACCTTCTGAAACTGTAATTGAGCCCCCAGTTAAATGCCCTTACATGTTACTCTGGTAAGGCGTCTCATTACAACAACAGAGCACAGTAACTAAGACAGGTGAGAAGCGGGGTTTCCTAAGACAGCCTCCGTTATGTTTTGCCAGGTTCCTTCAGACCAAAGACCTGAAGGATGAGTGGTCAGGCCCCACCCACACTCTTGCAGCTGGCAGTGCAGAGGCTGCTGAGGGATGAGGCCCTGGCCATCTCTGCTCTGAAGGACCTGCCCAGGGTGCTGTTTCCAGCACTCTTCAAGGAGGCCTTCAACCAGGGACAAACTAACATCCTGAGGGCTATGGTAGCAGTATGGCCCTTCCCCTGCCTCCCTGTGGGATCGCTGATGAAGACCCCCCACCTGGAGACTTTGCAGGCTGTGCTGGATGGAGTAGACATGCTGTGGACACAGAAGTTTCTCCCCAGGTAAGCAAGACCCAAGTAGGGTAGAATGGTGGCCACTGGGGTGAGGGAGAATGGGCTCAAGGGTCAGAGACTTCTGATGGTATCTTGTTGGAGGATTGCGGAAGCCTTGACCCCTGTTGAGCCCCAGTATAAAGGCCAGTTGAGTGTGGAGTAGAGCTTAAGCTGCTGTAGCCACAGTGGAATAAACCTTTCCCTGGCTCTCACACAGGTTCTGGAAGTGGAAGAGACAGTCAAGAATTTAAGTAAGCGAAGAAGCAGTACAGGTCTTTCGATGCAGCTCAGGCAAAGAGCCCTTGCCTGGCAGGCGCAATGTGCCGGTGGAGACCCAGCTCTGAGAAGCAGACACCGGGTAGCACGGAGGTGTGAGAAAAAGCTGCTCTGGCTTTAGCCTTTTGCACCTTCTCATGTTTCTCCCTGTTTTGCTCACAGGAGGCGGAAGCTTCAAGTGCTGGACCTGAGGAATGTGCACCACGATTTCTGGGATGTTTGGGTTGGAATGGAGGAGGATGGAGACTGCTCAGAAGAGGCTGTATGCGAAAAAAAGCAAATGGCAGAGCGCTGTCCTCGATACGCGCTGAGGCGGCGCTTGAAGGTGGTCGCCAACCTTTGCCTCAGGTTCCATCTGAATGAACACCAAACATACTTGCTGCAGTGGGCCCAGCAGAGGAGAAAGTTCGTCAGGCTGTGCTGTGTGAAGATGCAGATTTGGGCATTGCCGGTGTATACGGTCAGGAAAGTCTTGATGGTTTTCCAGCCTGACAGCATCCAGGAGCTGGAGCTGAATACAGGTTGGAGTCTGTCCTCTCTGGTGCATTTTATATCTTACCTGGACCAGATGAGAAACCTTCAAAAACTCCTCTTAACACGGAGTCACAGGAACACTTTCAAGGTTCTAACTACCCCCTCAGACATCCAGAAGTGTATCACCAAGTTCGTTTCTCAGTTCTCCAAACTCAACTGTCTCCAGCATCTCTCAATGAATGGTGTCTACTTTTCCAGTGAGCACATGAAACAGTTGTTCAGGTAAGGTAGGATGGAGACTGATTTCTGCTACCTTGGCAAACCTTCCTCTCCCTTATTGTTGAGGAGTAGGTACCCCGAGTGAGGTCAGCCAGACACTGTGGATTTCACAATCATGGTGTCATTACAACATCTAAGTAGGGTTTTATTTCCACTTTACACGAGTCAAGAGGAGAGCTTGGTTAGTTCAGTGACTACTCTAAGGCAGAGGCTGAGCTGGGGTAGGTGTGAAGAGAGTTAGGTCAGTGGGGTGGGGTCAGATGTAGAAAAGCATGTGCAGTGTACTCTTCCTTGGCACTCGGTCTAAGGTAAGGGGAAGGGAATAGGTCAGGGCAGTGGGCCCAGAATGGGGGAGGACCCACACCTACACAGATCCCCGGGGTAACTCTGCTTAGCATTTTTTGTGTCTTCTGACTTCCCACATGCCAAATCCCTTTTTGAGCCCAGGTAGGGCGAGACTCCAATAAGCAGCATGTGGATATTAGTCATGTGACTTGAAGATAAGTGGTCACCTTTATTTCTATGCTAACCCTAACAGCAGCTCTCTCCATCTCTATATGCCACAACTAATCACTCGGTCTCTCCTTAGGTCCCTGAAGACCCCTTTGGAGACCCTGTCCATCACTATGTGCAAGCTTTCACAGTTAGACTTGAATTCCTTGTCCCAGAGTAAGAGTCTCCATCAGCTCAAACACCTGAATCTGAGACTTGTGAAATTAAATGATTTATATCCTGTGCCTTTCCACGATCTCCTAAAGAGTGTAGCAGGCACTCTGCAGACCCTGGAGTTGGAGGGCTGTTGGATGGTGGACTCCCAGCTCATTACCCTTCTGCCTGCCCTGAGCCAGTGCTCCCAACTCACCAGGCTCAGTTTCTGTGACAATGACATCTCCATGGCTGTCCTGAAGGACCTTCTGTATCATACAGCCAACCTAAGACAGCTGACCCAGGAGCTGTATCCCGCCCCTTTGGAATGCTATGACGACAGGGGTGATGTCCACTTGGGAAGATTTACCCAACTTTGTCCTGAACTCATGGACACACTCATTACTGTAAGACAGCCTAAGGGAGTCTCCTTTGCTTCCTATATCTGCCATGAATGTTGTCAGCGCTGTGTCTATGACCTAGAGATCAGGCTTTGTCATTGTCAGCAGTAATAAAAGCCTAGCAGTAGGTATTTATCTCATCAAGGGAACCCAGAGCGTATGGCCACACACTCACTGCTCAGTGTTTGGGAAACAAAATGGTGTGCAGTAACTAGGGACAGACCCCCAAGGACTCAGGTTGACATGGAAAATGGTGGGGCTCTGAGGACAAAGGTTTATGGAGTCAAAAAGATGATTCTGTATTTCGTATTTCTTTCTTAAAAGATTTATTTCGTGTCAGTGGTTTACCTGTGTATATGTGTGCTTGGTGCTTGTGGATGGAGATCAGATGAAGGTGGCTGTGAACCACCACCATGTGGGCTGGAAGTCTAACAAGGGTCCTCTGCAAGAACAAGTGCTCAGCTGGTCGGTGGTGGCGCACACCTTTAATCCCAGCACTCCCGAGGCAGAGGCAGGCGGATCTCTGTGAGTTCCAGACCAGCCTGGTCTACAAGAGCTAGTTCCAGGACAGCCTCCAAAGCCACAGAGAAACCCTCTCTGGAAAAACCAAAAAAAAAAAAAAAAAAAGTATTCTTGGCTGCTGAGCCATCTCTCTAGCTCCAATTCTGTATTTTTAAGAGTTCTGTCAGGTCATGATAATGAATGACTTTCTCCTATGTGATAGTTGTAAAGTAAGGGTCAGATTTTGAAACCTGCATGTTCCCCTGGTGTCCTTCCCTGCCATTAACCTTGTCTCAGTGTCACTGCCTTCCTTTGACTGTTGATCTGGAAAGACCCTGTTGCTGTCTGACTAGACATCTGTGATGGCAGACAGACCTGGTTGTCAGTGGAACCCAAGCTGCTGGGCATTCCTGTGAAGTGAGAGATTTTCTTTACCACATTATTCGAAGAAACACCAACCCTAAATTGAAGCCACACCTTCCCTTGGCAGCATATATAGAAAGATGTGGAAGGAAGCTTTGGCAGAGATGTCCAGCCTTGTGGATGAACAACTCCTCCATCCTTGGTCTTTTTATTGTGAGCTAGTGATTGCCAGATGCCTAGACCACGGCCTGCCCTCCAGTCTACTAAACTTCATGTACTCTGATGTACATAGAGCTCTGTCAGTTATGTCCCTTTAGCCTTTAGAGAACCCTGACTTGTACATCACCAAAGTGAACTGAAGGCACTCATTGTCTTTCCTTTACTTCCGCCTGGGTGTCTGTCCTGTCCCTCTGCGTGTCTGCTCAGTGCTTTGTGTGTACAAAATGTCTAACCTAAAATGAGCAATGCATTCTCCAATGAGAGGTTTGGGGAGCGGCCGAGCTAGGCGCGTTTAGACTAGGAGGTCCTGTGGACATACCAAAGACAGCTGAAGCAAAATCAGAGCTACAAGCCTCATTGCTTGCTCCCTCTGTAGCTCTTTCTTTCATAGTCTCGTGTTGTTCAGACTGCCCTTGAAATCCTCCTGCCTCAACCTCCTAAATGCTAAGACTACTGAAGTATGTCACATGGCTGGCTTGTAAATCACTTCTGTGGGACCCTGTTCTTCAGGGCTTCCAGCCCTCTGGCTGTCCCTGAAGAGAAAGTTATCTGGCAGATGGACAAAAATGTCCCTGTCCTGGCTTAAAAGATTGACAGACCTTAAGAACTGCATTATTAATGTCCCAGAGGAAACTTTATTTTGTTAATGAGTACTCAAGTCTACCCATTGTATATTGTAGCAATAAAAGAATTTTGTTTCATGTGCTCTGTTTTTTCATTTGTACAAGTGTTAAGGATATAGGGGGGAGTCAGGTGATGTGGTGGCACACACATTTAATCCCAGGACTTGGGAGGCAGAGGCAGGCAGATCTCTTGAGTTTAAAGCCAGCCTGGTCTACAGAGTGAGTTCCAGGACAGCGGGGGCTAGGCTACACAAAGAAACCCTGTCTCAGAAAACCAACTATATATATAGGACTGGGGAGATGTCTTAGCAGTTAAGATCATGGGGTATTCTTTCAGAGGACCTGGGTTTCATTCCCAGCATCCACAACTGTCTGTAACTATAGTTCAAGGGGATGGGTAAAAGAACGAGTAGGTGGGATAGCCTATTGGGTGTAAGACCCCCACTACCATCCTAACATAATAAGAGGCTTCTCCTGGAAGTGCTTTCTGACAACACTATTTGAGACAGAAGTGCTGTGTCATGTACATACACACAACACTGAAGTCTTAAAAACTGGATGTAACCTAATGGTCTGTGTAGCTCAAGTTGGCCTGGAACTCAGATTGTTCCTCTGCTGTATGTCTTCAGAGTGCTGGAATTAAAGGCAGGGGCTACCATGACTAACAACCAAGCAGTTTTGCCAAAACCCCCAATGACAAAACCCAAGAAAAGGAAATACCCCCCCCCCCCCACGAACATACAACCTGGAATCCATTATATGTTGGTCAAACGAGGCCTGCCTTAGAGTGTATAACTAGTGTCACTACATTGGAGAAAAACTGATTTTCCTGCTCCCAGCAGGTATAAATAGCAGTTCAGCCCTTAGCCTGTTTTACCCTAGTGGCTAGGTTTTCATTCATTCTTTAAAATGTAACAAGATAAAAACTAGCATGTTGAAGTTAGAACAAACCAACAGAGGGTCAAGAGACCAAGAGAAAGCAACAACAGTCAGACACTCAGGGACGCCTTGAAAACACTAAGCCGGAAGCCATAAGTAGGCAGAGGACCTGGTGCAGACCTGTGCCTGCAGCTTGAGTCTGTGAGTCCAGTTGGTGCTTTGCTCATATTAACTTAGAGGACCTTGTTCTCCTGGTCTCCTCCAGCTCTCTGGCTCTTTGTAGGCTCTCTACCTACTCTTCCATGGGTTCCCTGAGCACTGAGGGGAGGGATTTGATGGAGACATCCCATTTAGGGCTGAGTGTGTCAAAGTCTCTCACTCTCTGTCTAATAACTGGGGTCTCCTGTGTGTGTGAACACACTGGGACTGGTTTTGAGCCACACTTGGCTCAAAACCAAAGTTATTTATTTCACTACCCATTTTATTTTATATGTATGGGTATTTACCTGCTCATACACATGTCATGGGGGGTGTACAATTTGTGTGCCTAGTGCCTCTGGAGGTTACAGAATTGAACTGAGGTTACAGAATAAGAGTTATAGGTCAGTCTGGGCTAAATAGTAAGACTGGCCTGGCAACATTCTGGGCATGGGGGAACTGATGAACTCTCTGACCTAATTCACTGACCCCCTGCCTCCACAGAGACTATGTTTCTGTTCATAATGTTTCCCTCTTCCCCTCCTCTCCCAGCCGCATGTCCCATTTGCTCCCTAGAATAGGCCGGGTTTCTTTTCTATCTATATCTATCTATCTATCTATCTATCTATCTATCTATCTATCTATCTATCTATCATCTATTCATTCATTTTGGCTTTTTGAGACAGGGTTTCTCTGTGTAGTTTTGGAGACTGTTCTAGATCTCGCTCTGTAGACCAGGTTGGCCTCAAACTCACAGAGATCTGCCTACCTTTGGCTCCTGAGTGTGGTAATTAAAGGTGTGCACTTAAATCCAGTGTCTGACAGACCTCAGGTGCGCTCTAATCCCTAATGTAAATGAGAACGGTTTGCTGTGGTAGCAGAAAGAGCTCTCCATCCTTCCTTAGCAGAGTAACTTTTAGGTGGTGTACTGGCTAGTTTTATGTCAACTTGATGATACAAGCTAGAGGAGCCTCAATTGAGAAAATGCCTCCCTAAGATATGGCTGTAGCCTGTAGGACATTTTCTTAATTAGTGATCTATGGGGTAGTGGCCAGCCCATTGTAGGTAGTGCCATCCCCATGCTGGTGGTCCTGGATTCCATAAGAAAGCAGGCTGAGCAAGCCATAAGGAGCAAGCCAGTAAGCAGCACTCCTCCATGGCCTCTGCATCAGCTGCTCCTGCCTCTAGGTTCCTGCGTTGTTTGAGTTCCTGCCCTGACTCCCTCCAATGATGAACTCAGGGTTCACTTTCCTCTTCTGTATGTCAAGTCTTCTGAGACTAACCAGTCATACTCATCTGTGAGTTCGGACTCCAGCTGGTACAGAAAAGTCACTGCTTGAGTTAGAATAAAATCCTAGCTCACTTCCTGCTCTGGGTGTTTGCACTATACCCTTCTGAGAGTAAAGTGTTTCTGTCTAGACACCTCAGTTGAAGTGGTGGTCTTTGTGACCCAGACTTATTTCTAGCAAGTGCATGCTGGACTTCATCTCAAGTATCATTTAATTCGTGGGCTTATTGTGTTTGCCAGTCCACCTCCTTCTGCCCCTTAAGTGGGATTAAAGGCATGTGCCACTACACCCAGCTCTAGGCTCAATTTCTGGGACAATGTCACTTCCATGCTTGGCCCAAAGGACTTTCCCCACCACACCACCAAGCTAAGCCAGTCCATTTGAGGACTCTGCCCTGCCCCTTGGGGTTACAATGATGGCAGGTATGAAGGCTTTCTAGAAAGGTTTTCCTTGAAGCATAGACAAACACGTTTGTGTCTTTCTACAATGTCAGGATTTATATATTCCCATTTTAATTACTCGCATAAACTCATCACACAGCACACTTCACACATAGGATCATGGGGGAAACACCATTCACTTCCTGCATGACTTTTTTTTTCTCTGATTGTTCTGCCCCTATTGGGATTAAAGGCATGGACCATGATCCCCCAGCCCTGCTTGACCTTTTTTTTTTTTTTTCCGGAGACAGGGTTTCTCTGTGTAACAACCCTGGCTGTCCTGGAACTCACTTCATAGACCAGGCTAACCTCAAATTCACAGAGATCCTATTGCCTCTGCCTCCTGAGTGCTGGAATTACATGGGGTTTCCCCCTATACCGTTATAAATTGTCATTTTCTTCCCGGGTACCATGTCTGTCTCCTCTCTATCCAGAGACCATCCTTTTTTTTTATTATCATTTTTTATTTTAATTTTAAATAGCTTGTTTTACATGTCAATCCCAGTTCCCTCTCCCTCCCCTCTTCCCACACCCCCCTTCCGCCCTCCCTCCCACCCTATTGCCAAATCCTTCCACATAGGGGATATCTAGAGTCTGTCATTTTACTCTTGGTAGGGTCAAGGCACTCCCCTAAGAGTCCAGGCTGAGAGAGCATCTCTCTTTGTGCTATAGGCACATGAAGACAGTTTGTATACCAGGGATAGACACTGATCCACAGCTCAGGGCCCCATAGGTTGCCCAGGCCTTCTCACTGACACTCACATTTGGGGGGTCCAGATCAGTCCCATGCTGGCCTCCCCACTGTGGGTCTGGGGTCCAAGAGCACTCCCCTGTTCAGATCAGCTGTCTCTGCTGGTTTTGCCAGCCCATTCTTTGCCAATTTGCTCATCACTCCTCTCTGTCACTGGGTTCCTTGGGTTCAGTTCAGTGATTAGTTGTGTGTTTGCCTCTGCATCCATCAGTCACACGATGAAGGCTCCCGGATGGTTATAGACATCAAGTTCATTATCAGGAATGGGC